TTTTTGAGGCAATAATGGTTTTGATAGAATTGTTATTGTTGTTAAGTGCAATTGAGTTGGTTCTGACACATAGCAACCCAGTACAGGGTTTCCGAAGAGTGGCTGATGAGCTTGAATCGCCGACCTTGTGGTTATCAGTCCAGTGCTTATTCTACAGTGCCACATCAGGAAACACACGTCCCAAAGATCACCGTGCGGGGGCTGGTGGGATGAAGTCATTTCTTCAGATTAATCAGTAACACAGCTCCCACAAGATGCAACATGCACTAAAAGTGGCCACTATATGTGCCATGGAGCACAAAAAGGTGATGTTGACTAAAAGTGGATTTCTGTCACTTGCAGCACAGAGAGTTCTGATTAATACAAATGTTTCTTCTCAAATGAGAGCCCAGGGTAGGTTATATCCTTATGAAAGCCGTGACTTTACTCTGCATTGCTTACTCTGGGGTCTTGATCATCTCTGATGATGACCTCTTCCTCTGGCAGAGGCTGCATGAAAACTGGGTTCCACTGACCTGCAACATTACTACAGACAAAAAGACCATCAATCCACATGAAAAGGAGAAGTACAAATTAAACTGATTCTTAGCAATCTGCTATAGAAGTGTTTCCTCCAGTGACTTCCTGAAATGACAACTTCTTACATGACTCTCTAAACCTCATCTTCAGTCTGCATCTCCTAACTAGGCATTATTATTATACTAAGTGCATGACTAGACAATCCTCATGCCTGCCTTGTAGACCTTGTACATACCTTTTGAGGGATACAATGTCACCCGTTTTGTAAAACATGGAAAGCAAGCTCTAGATGTTGCATAGTAAGCTGACAAATCATGAGCCTATGTTTTTTTTACCACTTTGCTCGAATGCTGCCTATGAGAAGTATTTTCCCATGTGTGGACCAGGGGCAATCATGTCTAGAAATCTACCCTACAATTTGGGGTTCTGAGGGATTCCCTAGAGTACAATTAGCCCAGTGGTCTTCCAATGAATCTTTGCCAGTTATTTCAGGGGTTACATAAGTGTTTGATTCAAAATAGTTTTAATAAAAAGAATTTTTAACTATTAAAAATTTTAATAGTTAAGTGATTTTAACACTTAAAGACTAAATGTATTGAATGTTATAATCAACACTACAACAGTTAAAATTTTCTACTAATTTTGTTTTATATATTAGAACTGGAACATATATAATTTTATACACTATTATTCTTTAAAAGATTTAAAAGCAAAACAAAATAACAACTAAGTTGAGAAGAACTATACCAGTCCATTATTTCTCATCTTATGGATGGGGGGAAAAAAACAAACCAAAACCCAAAGGGGTTACAATTTTCCAAAAGCTCTTGTGTCAGGAATGGACTTCCCTTAAAAGCAAGCTCCCAGATGAGAAACCTGAGGAGTGAATCTTTCTAATCTTTCACTTCTGACTTTGGTCCTTCATAACATGCTTTCTTGTCTTGGTGGCAGGAAATTGTTAAGGGGGAGAGGGAGGATGATAAGAGGTAAAGTGACCCGTACTGTTCAAAGTTGATGTACTTCACAACTGTCTGGTTTTCAGCATTGTGCCACAGCGCCCAGACATCCGTGGAGGTTAAGGCAAAGTCAATCAATGTCTCCTAGGAGGAGATGGAAACGGGGTGAAAAAAGAAAGGAAAGGTAGTTTTTTATGGTGATTTAAATTTGAATGGGGTCAGAGGTAAAATGCATAAAAACAAAAAGATGGTAGATCATGAAACTGGTATGCAATCCAAATAAAGTTTTGAGGGCATGCTTTATGCAAGATTGCAGTTTAAGACTTCAGTCCCACTACAGCATGGTGGGCTTAGTCAGGACCTCGCTCTTATACCTGTTTAACATGCAAAGAATGACAGGCCTACCTGAGAAGTGAACAGCGAGGATATATGGTCTAGGCTGTAGCGGTTACTCTCGGTGCTTACCAACTGGAAGATGCAGAACTGTTTACAACACAAGAGTACAACTTATTAATGGAAGTAACCAACGTGACCACACCTTTCCAAGCCAAGGTTACTAGCATTCAGAAACAAGTTTTGTATTTTTAACACCATTTAAGAGAGAATTTAAAACATGACACAATACCAACCAGCACTAGTCAGTACATTTAAAAAAACCCAAACCGCTGAACTCCATGTTTAGTCCTCATTGCACTGTAAGAACAAAACTCTAATATTTGATGACTAACATCGTAAGTACTTTTAAACGTGTACTGGCTGAAGGACTGCAGAGCAGATCAGTTTCCCATTTGACAACTCATACACTTTGTTTCATCTCACTGATTGCTATACCTACAAGCAATACCATTTATCCCACTTCCTACGTCTCCTGTTTCTATTTCTCTTTCATTCCTAACCATGCTGAGCTTTGTCATTGGGTCAGTGATGCCCTTTTCACTTCAATTGGCTGATTCTTCTAGGTAAGTAGCTTTTTGGAGAAAGAAAACTTACCACAAACTAAAAGTGACAGTGACCGTATCCTTATTTGAGGGGGCTTCATAAAACTTGTGGGAAAGTGGAATGAAAAGATAATGGAATTTTCTCAAGAACTTTTGGAAGCCTCGCATATTAAAAAAAAGAGAAACCGCTCACAAGGAAACCCTACTGAACGCCCCAGTGTGGGGAGTATTAATCTGAGTGGGGTGTCTGAGAAGATGGAGCCAGACCAGCAGGTGATCAGAATAGCACCCAGACGGTGGCATGACCTGGAATGAGAAACCCAGATCCCAAGGAAGCGGGAAGGGGTGGTCTGGCCTGGGCACCTGAACATGCACAAGGAGAGAGGCCTTCCTCAAGCAGGGAAGCCCAGGCTCAAGGTGGACAATCAATAGGGTGAGGAGGGCATCTGTATGGGTAGGAGGGCAGGCTGCAGAATGAGAGCTCAAGCAGAGTGAAGGGGATGAGCCCAGCTTCACTGGCATACTGTCATATTAAGTAGGTGATACAAGTAAAGTGCAGACGCCTAGACTAAACATGTGCTGACTGTTTGCTATTATTAAAGGATATCAAGTACACAATAGAGTTTATTACAGGATTAGACCATTATATTATATTCTAATACCTCAGATACATACAAGAGCAGGTGTTTGACTCGTGAGCAAAATGATTTCTAAAAATTAACTGCCACTACACCTACTTCTTTACAGTAACTATTTCTTACTTCACTTCCAAACTCGCTCTTGATTAATTTTGGTTACTTTTCCTTTAAGCTCTCTATTCCCTCCCTTTGAGGGAACTCATTTGAGTTCCTCTATCATTAAAACCCACCACCATCACTTCAGAAACAAAGTAACTCACAGAACACTGAGGTTGGTGCAGAAAGCTTAAGTTGACTCAGTGAGTCTAACAGCTACTTACCCATAAAAGCACCTGCAGAGAAATGTGAGATACATCTCTTACTGCTTTCCTACCTGTCCGTGTTTTGAAGCATGCATGTATATCCCCAGGTAGAGTCCCAAAGAAGGGGAGTAAGCAAGTCGCAATTTGTGCCCAGTCCCAGCGGTGAGCCGCAGGTCTTTATTCACAGGGACATACTCCAGCATGTCAGCCACCATCAGGCACACTTGGTCCTGCCCAAGGTATAAGTTATGAAGTGGCGTCAAAGGAAATACAGGTTAGAAAAACAGGCCCCCAACCCCCCCGCTCAGCAGGACACAGTCATCCTATCTAGCACCCTAAGAGTCTACCTGTGAAGGACTAGTCCTGATGGTAAATTTTTAAGGGGAAGAAGAAAAACATCTTAGTCTGAAAGATAAAATCAGCAGCAATTTTGTTTGTAAATAATCTTGAAAATAATTTTACCAACATGCATTTAGATAGCATGCTTGCTCCTCTTGAGTGAAAGGTATTTTGCCGTCAAATACCATGGAGTCGGTTACGACTCATAGTGACCTTGGCACAGGGTTTCCAAGACTGTAAATCTTTACAGGAGCAGAAATCCTGCGGGACAGCTGGTAATTTTGAACTGTCGACCTTGAGGTTAGCAGCCTAATTCGTAACCACTACGCTACCAGAGCTCCCTGAGTGAGTGAAGGGTATACTCAATGTAAAAACACCCTTTCAACTTTTCTGTGGGTTTTGTAACTTTTAAAATTAGAAGAATGAAAGGTAGAAAGGGATTTCATGAAAAATAAATCTACATGAAACAGTTCAAAGCTGGAAAGGTCTAAAATTTCCCAACCTGATAATCTTTCAGAGAAGTAGCAAGATTTGTTTCCGTTTCATCACATGTGTATTTTAACTTATGCTGCTATTAAGTGTGCGGTCAGTTCTGACTTATAGTGACGTTGCAGCAGACCAGTGCATATTCTACAGTGCCATGCCAGGACTCGCGTCCAACATACAGTACACCTCCAAATGTATATTTACCTTAAACGACCACATTCGGAGTTTATGATCCTGACACAGAGCAAAGATGAAGGCATCATGTTCAACACAATGAACAGCAAGACTGAGGGGACGATCTTGAGGTCCCTGGTCACCCCTAAAAAAAGTCAAAAGTTAAGAATTTTACAGCAGAATCTGCAATATAAGAGATGCAATAAAATTATAGAGGCATGATCAACAGAAGGAGCAAGTGTTCAAAAATTGATTTAAGGTAATGACATTTTTGTTAAGACTTATGAACAATTATTAAAATATATTTTAAGAGGTTTAAGATTGCAATACTTCTTTGGTATTATTTCATTCTTAACATTAAAAATATTCTACTTCTAATAATTTCACAGAAAATGGGATTTGGTGAGTTTGGGCCGAAGGTTAACCTTGGACAGTGAGAATACAGAGTTTTTACAGTCAAGATGTCCAATCACAAATGAGGCGGACCCTGGAACCTGGTTTCCCTCAGGGGAAATGTGATGCTATGCAGATGCCTTTCCTTTCCAGGATGTTATTTTTCTGCCTTGGCGTGAGAACGGAGCCCTTGACAGGAGCTGACCTTTGACTTCCCTGTCAGACATCACGTACCTGATAGCAGTTGGCATCCAGCCTGTAAGCAGTCGCTGCATTACTGAACTCTGCTTCAGTTCCACAACCGACACCATCCCTGTAAGAGGGAAAACAGTCAACGACGCCCAAGGCACCTCTTGATCAGACTGAGAGAAATCCAATGGCAAGAAAAACAACCATATACAAGGTTTTCACAAGGGGCAGGCTTCTACATTTCTATATATCCATCATTTCAGAAGGCAGCTCTCCTGTATAAATGCTGTTGCTATAAGGAGCTCTGGTAGCGTAGTGGTTACGAATCAGGCTGCGAACCTAAAGGTCAGCGGTTCGAAACTACCAGCTGCTCCACGGGAGAAAGATGAGGCTTTCTACTCCCGTAAGGATTTACACCCTCGGAAACCCTGTACAGGGTCGCTATGGGTCGGAACCGACTCGACGGCACTTAACAACAACATGTGCCATCAAGTCAGTTCTGACTCATAGTGACCATGTGTAGGGTTTCCACAGCCACAGATTTTTACAAGAGCAGAAAGCCTCCTCTTCCTTCCATGGAGCAGTGCATCTGAATTTCTGAATTGCAGTTAACACTTCAACGTGGAACCCATTTCTCCTTTTCTCTATGTAGTTGTTGTTAAGTGCCATCGAGTTGGCTCCGACTCACAGTGACATTATATAGGATTTATATGCTATTTTGGGTTTCCAAGGAGAGGCTAGTAGGTTTGAAGTATGGACCTTGCAGTTAGTAATCTAGTGCTTATCCTACAGTGCCACACCAGAACTCCTTCCCATGTATGTTGCTGTTCTAAGTGCTATCCAATTTGTTCCAACTCACAGCAACCCTGAGTAGGGTTTCCAAGGAGTGGCTGGTAGGTTTGAATCGCCTGCCATGTTAGCAAGGCAGTGCTTATCCTACAGTATCTCACCAGGACTTCTAGGCATAGCACACCTCAAAGATTCTGAATCATTACTGAAGCAATATAAGCAGTACTTTGATACTCCTAGGGGAAATTTTTTTTTTTTGTCCTAGGAGTATCAAACTTTGGACAGTAATCCACATTATCACTCAACAAAATGACCTCATTCTTTTATTCAAAATAATCATTGCTGGGCACTGCAGACACAGCAATAAAGAGAACAAAGAAAAAGCTCCTGTCCTCATGGAACCTCCATTCCACTGTGGGGAGACGCACAGGCTCTTCTTAACAATGGGCTGGAACAGCTAAGATCTGCTTTCACACCAACAAGTCTTCTTGCTTCAAGTGAAATTCATGCTCAATTCCAGTTCTTACCAGGTATGTCGTGAGGCGGTAGTTTCAGAACAAAGATTCCACCAGCTGCAGAAGGTAGGGCAAATAGAGCCTCCCCATCACTGCTCAGCCAGGCTGCCGAGGCAGTAGAATTAGGGGACAGTCCAGGTACAGCAGGAATTAGCTGACAGTTGCAAGGATCCCTGAAATCAACCTTTCCAATGTCGGTGAATATTGACTGCATCTGACTTTCAGTGACCAATTCCTGTGGAGTAATTAAAAAGACATCTATTAAAGCAAAACCACTTACATTTTGCTCAGTTCCCTGCACCCCGCATCCCTGAACTGCTACAATGAAAGTAAAAAAAAAAAAAAAAAACAGTCAAAAGCTTGAAAATCCACATGACTATTCTTTCTAATAAAAATTTTCTTTAACTTAAAGGGTATATCTGATTCTTTTAAACAGCAATCAGTTAAAGCAGAGTTGACGAGAAGTAATAAAGATATTGTTCTAAGACAAAGTCGATGACAGCCAGAGTAATTTGGGAAATAGCCAACTTACACTCCTATACATCCGGGAAGGGTGTGGAAACAGTAACCTGTGTACTGTTTGGTTGGTTAATAGCAAGATGATCACATGATTCTGAGTCTCAGAGATATGCACCCCTCCGGGTAAGATGCTGCAATTTTGGAATTTGAGGCGAATGGCATTATTCAACAAGTTTATGTCCAGTGACTCCTCCATTAGCTCCAATGAATCTCCTGAGGTTTTCCTGTTAAAAACAGAGATATCTGTTTAAGATTATGTAATCTTTTCCTCATTGACAGTTGCATTAAGATATGGAAGAAGGGTTTCCAAGCAAATTCTCCCCATTTGAATTCAGAGCAAGTTTTAAGCTCCAGTTACCACATTACACAGACTTAGAAAACAACAAAAACCTGTGAGTCTCTGTTAAAAGGAGGCGTTTCAAAACAGCAAAGCCCTTTTATTGAGACCACATTTGAGGTAATAAAACTCTATTATGCTGAAACCTCACACCACACATTCCTGTTGGTTGTGGAACGTGGACACCACTTAAGTGACGACAGAACCAAACAAAACTAGCCTCAGTAATTGTGGGTATTTCCCTCTCCTAACCTTCTTCACCTGCACTAACACAAAATAGCCACTTTATGGGGTTTTCCCTAGTAGAATTATGTTTTAGAGGATAGTATTTCTTACTAAAGGAGTCCTGGTGGCACTGTAGGCTAAGCACTGGATGGCAAACCACAGGTTGGTAGTTTAAAACCATCAGCTACTTCATGCAAGAAAGATGAAGCTTTCTGTTCCCATAAAGATTTACATCCTTGGAAATCCTATACAGGGTCTCTATGAGTTGGAACCAACTAAATGACAATGGGTTTGGATTTATTTCTTACTAAAGAACTATTTTTAAATTATGTAAATAACTGTGTGTTGACCATATGTATGGTGAATTTCTGTACTGACTAGCTATTCTGACTTCCACTTTATTCCTGAGCAGGAGCTTGTTTATGAATAAATGACTGCAAGCACTGTGACAGCCTCACACTAAGCAAAGGGACAGGAACACAGGAATACATTCTTCATGGTCAAATGCCGAACAAATTTGAAACATGCAAAATACAAAAAACTTTATTTACACTTAAGTTGCAACATGTTTCTTGACAAGAAACAAAGCAAGGGAAACTTAATTACTAATGTAACATATGAATTCAGATTAAAAATCTTAAAACCCTCCAGCCCTTGCCAACTTTTTACCCAGAAGTTGAATGTTACTTTACTCCAAGAGGGTTCTTAGTTTTGAAGGGCCAGTATTTGTTACCTTATAAAAAGCACTGGCACATAGCTACTTGTCTATGTCCTTCACTCAGGACGGTGGGCCATCAAATCTGGATGCTTTTTCTCCGGACACAGTTCCTTTCCTTCCAACTTTGCAATGAAGCTGGCCATCCCCTTCCTGGTCCACTGCAGTCTTGGCCTTAGAGCCTTCTCAGCAGCACCAGATGACATTTAATGGCTCCACCTTCTGCAGGGGTCACATCAGAATGCTGAAGCAGACTCCTCCTTACAATAAACTCATGCTAGATTATCAGCACAATTTTCTACATCCTCAACCCCTTCTCTCAACACTTGTTACCTTCCATCCTTCTAAGTAAGGTCAAGTTCTAGATCTTCCCTGAGGACACAGTTCCCTGCATCCCCCTCCAATGGTGGCAGCTTTCTTTACCACCTCCTTGTAGTAGGGCCTCAAGGTAACATTAAAAGTCCTACTTGCTCCCCATTGCCACATACTTCTAGAGCACCTGCCCCCCTGCCCAAAGCACTCTGCTCTGGAGCTCGTGCCATCTGTCATCTGTGCTCACTGCACATATCTAGACATTCCTCTCATTCCTGGAAAGCTCAGCTCCTGGCTCACCGTCACTCTCTCCCACACCATTCCTGTCATAATTTGTACTGATGTCAACATCCATGTAGATGCTTTTGCTATTAGCCTATTTTCTTGATTTCTTGAACTCCTCTCTCCCAATGGTTGCCTCAATGTAACTTCTAGATTGCCCACAAATGCATATAAAAATACTGTACCCTACACTACGCCATTGGACTCCTGGGGTGGTGCTGTAGGATCAGCACAGACTATGAAATACAAGGCCGGCAGTTCAAATCCATCGGCTGCTCCTTGGAAACTCTATACAGGGTCGCTGTGAGTTGAGATGGACTCGACAGCACTAACAACACAAGCTGCCATTACCCTCCAGCTACCATTTGATTTCTCTTGCTTCCCTAAGGACAGTTGTCCCTCCCTCCATATCCATAGGTTTCACATCCATGAACCACGTACATTTGGTGGTGGTGGTGGGGAGGGTAGGTTAGTGGGAGCACTTCTACTGCATTAAATATTACAAGTGACCTAGAGATGATCTTAAGTGTACAGGAGAATGTGAGTAGGCAATACTCATAATTCCTCTCCTCCCCATTTCTTTTGAGCCCACTCCAAATCAGCAGACTGAAGCAGTTCTTGACAAGGTCATCGATGACCCACATGATGCAATGATCAATTTCATTACTCATCTTACCTGACTTACATGCAACATTTGACAGCTTGCACTCTCCTCCTTCTTGAGATATCCCCGTTAGCTTCTGAAAACTTTCTGTGGTTCACCTCTCACTGCCTCAGTTATTCCTTCTCTGTCTCCTTCACTGGTTCCTTATCTTCCTTCACTATCGAGTGGCCCCAGGGGTCAGTCCTAAGACCTCTTGTCTTCCCTCATCTACACAAGTGGCTCTCATATTGCGGTGATGTTTCCTTCTCCATCCCCATGGGCATTTGGCAAAACCTGAAGACATTTTTAGTTGTCACAACTGAAATGGGAGGGTACTATTGGTATGTAAGAGACAGAGGGCAGAGATGCTACTCAACATACTATAATGCACAGCACAGCCCCGACAACAAAGAATTGTTAGTCAGTTGCGAGCAGTCGTATCTAGTCCCAAAACAGCAACGGTTCTAAGGTTGGGAAGTCCTGATTAACGTTCATCCACTAGGTGATCTTCTTTAGTAGAACAGCTTTAAATGCCATGCAATGGCAATGATTCCTAACTCTATCGCCACCGATTTCAAACCATTGCAGCAATACCTTCACTTAGCTACGTAACAGGCAACTCAAACTAGACCTGCCCAAAACAGAATTCTCAGACTTACCAAATCCAACAAAGATACAAAAACACATGCTTCATCCACATCTTCCCCATATCTATTAATACTATCTTCAAAATTTCCATGTGCTCAAGCCAAAAATCTTAGGGCTACTCTTTTCTTTCCATACACCTTACATGTGGAGTCCTGATGTAGAATAACCACTGAACTGCTCACCACAAAGGTGACAGTTCATATCCACCAGCCTTCATAACAGATGCAACAACGGCACTTAACAACACCATCACCCTATATTTGTTCCATGAGTCAAGTCTAATAAATTCGCCTTCAAAATCTCCCCACAACCTGATCAGTTTATTCTCAACACAATAATCACAGAGACTGTCACTGCAGTCACCCTTTAAAAACACAATTTCGATCACATCATTTCACCTCAGTCTTCAAATAGCTGACAACACCAAGAGTCAGCCATTGGTGACCTCTAGTATTCTAGTCTTCGTTCATTTGCTGTAGACTCCAGGTCCATTGCATTCTCTGAACACAACAAACAAGCTCCAGTCCCAGGGTCCTTTGCACTTTTTGTTCTTTCTTGAAATGCTCTCCTATTATTGTTGTTGTTGTTTAGTGCTGTTGAGTCAGTTCCAACCCATAGCGACCCAATATACGGTTTCTGGGGAGTGACTGGTGAACTTGAACCACCAACCTTGCAGTCCAGTGCCTTAACCCATAGCGCCACACCAGGACTCCACTCCCCTACTAGATATGTTCTTTCCCTACCACACCTCTAATATCTAGCATGGTGCAGCATCTAGTAAAAGCCCAACAAGTAACTGCCAAATGAATAGCTCAATCAGGAGCAACTAAATGACAGTTAATAGTACAAATCGGACTGCAAACCGCAAGGTCAGCAGTTCGAAATCGACAGCTCTTCTGTGGGAGAAAGATGAGGCTATCTGCTCCCTTAAAAGATTTGCAACCTTGGAAACCCTGTACAGGGTCGCTATGAGTCGGAACTGACTCCACGGCACATAACAACAACAACAGACTTAGTTTCTTTATAATACAGATATGACAACACCTAACGGTTGTTGCAAGAATTAAATGAAAGCATACATAGGAGTCCTGGTGTGGCGCTGCAGGATAATGCACTAGATCCCACGATGGATTTGAATCCCAAGGTCAGCGGTTTACACTTACCAGTCACTCCTTGGAAACTCTACACAGGGTTGCGACTCAATGGCACTTAACAACAACAACATACACAGGATAGCCTGAAAGCAGACTTGTTTTGTTTGCTCAACATTTCATCCCTGTATCTACCACACGTAGAAGCTCAACAAATAATTTAGGAATGGGAAGAGATATAAAGTAGTAAAAAACATAAGAGCTCATGTTTAAAAGTTGGTCCATTTTTAGTGCTGCCTGGACAGTATCTCTCCTAGAATTCTGTCTCCTTATTGTTTCTACGCATCAGTCTTTTTCCTTTCCTAACAGCCGATTAGATTTTATTAGATTAGATATTATAGATTGCAAGGTTGGCGATTCAAGCTCACCAGCTGCTCCTCAGAAACCCTTACAGGTTCACTATGAGCCAGAATCGACTCAATGGCACTTTACAACAATAGTCGATTAAGGAGCTCTGGTAGGACAGTGGTTACAAATCGGGCTGCTAAACTCAAGGTTGGCAGTTTGAAACTACCAGCCTTTCCGCGGGAGAAAGATGAGGCTTTCTGCTCCCATAAAAGATTTGCAGCCTTGGAAACCCCGTACAGGGTCACTATGTCACTATGAGTCCGAACCAACTCCATGGTACTTAACAACAATAGTCGATTATTCTTTTAGAAAATGACACTTTGGTAATAGCCAAGAAAATTTAGGCATCCAACAACCTTACCTTCCGGGGGGGGGGGGGGTTGGCTAATACGGCACTTACCAATGAATGAACCTGTTTCTGGTGACGGAGAATAATTTGCCACATTCCACATAGTAGAAACCTCCAGCGCTCTCACTGTATTTCACCGATCCGGCCACGGTACTCACAGTCCCTGCAAAAGGAGGGCGGTCAGTCTATACACGTGGTTCCCAGGGAATGACAGGGGCTGAGAGCGTGGAGGAAGCAGAGAGAGATGGAGTGACAACCCATACAGAATGAAGGGGATGCAAAGAGCAAGAGGCTGGACACCAGGGAAGGTCCGATCCAAGGCCCGTTGGAATATGGGTTTAGAAGAATGAAACGGGCCGGGGGTGGGGTGGGGCACATACCCGGGGACCCAAGGGAGGAGTCAGAGGGAAAGAAAAGACCGCAGCCTCCCTGGCCGCTTCCGTACCAACGCCGCAGACTGTAAATTCCCGAAAATGCCTCGGTCTTTCGCGCTCAGCTCCGCTTATCTCCAAGAAGCTCCGTTCCATGGCTCCCGCCGCCGCCATCTTCCCGCCGCTGCCGCGGAGCCCGACGGGAAACGGGCAGGGCCGCGCAGCAGTCGTCACTTCCGGAGGTGGGGCGAGCGGCACCGGGAACTGGAGGAGACGCCCCGGGAGGAGAAAGGCAGGCCTATCACTCTGTTGTGGGGCTGTCACCGAGTTAGCAAGAGAGTAAGTGTGGATAGGGAAGACGCCACGAGAGAAGAGGGGAAAGGAAGCCGTGTCTGTGCGCGGCCACCGCGGAGTGACCGACGCAGACGCCTCGGGGGGCGTTGCCCTTGTGCTGGCGGCCTCCGGGCCGGGGGCGGGCTTATTTCTATTTTAAAAACGGTGGCTGGGGCCGCCGGGCCGAGCCTCCCAGGAGCAGCGAGATCTGCTTGCACCTCCTTCTGATTCCATGTTTGCAGTTTATGGGCGCCTTCTCCTTGGCCCTGGAGCCCTGGTGACGCAGTAGTTATGAGCGCGCCTACTAGTCACAAGGTCCGTGGATCGAACCTACCAGCCCCTGTTCGGGAGAACTGTAGTGGTCTGCTTCGGTAAAGGGTTACAGCTTTGGAAACCTGTGGGGAGGTTCTGTTCTAGGTTATTGAACTACTATGATTCGGAATGGACTCCACCTCGCTCCTTTAGGATGTCATTGTACATTTACCCCCTCATCCCTTTCGTTCCCTTTCTGAGACCGGTGGGCTAGGAGGCGGCACAGTGAAAAGGAAAGGAGCATTTCGTTTTCTGTTGCAGTTTTCTCCAGAGACTGCATTCGTGTATTTTATGATGAAACATAATAACGTTAAAATAAATATTGATACTGGTTTGCTCTCCCAAGTGCCCCTCACGTGCCTCTGTAAAGGTAGTTCACCTTTTGTTCCAACCCTGCTCTGCTCTTGGTTGTCAAGGCTTGAAGGGCCCATAGAAGATGAAGGTTTACATATTGTATCTAGGGCAGAGTAGATGCTCAATACCGAGAAAAGTGCTCATCTTCAAGAGAAAAGGTGTTTTTGTTTTGTTTTTAAATGATAACTAATGGACCCCTGGTGTGGTGCAATGGGATAAGCACTGGGCTGTGAACCAAAAGGTCGGTGTTTCAAACCCACCAGCTGCCCCTTGAATCCCTGTACAGGGTCACTGTGAGTCGGTATTGACTCGTTAGCACTTTAACAATAATATATAAGTACAGTAACCCCAATCTTCCACTCACCGTTTCATTCATTCTGTTCTGTATTCTTTCCAAATCATTTCCTTTAGGAAACCAATTCCAGCAATCCCTCCATCCATTGTTCCTACACCCTTTCACTGCCCCTCACTCCTTGATGCTTCCTTCTTGTGCTATTTAAATTCCATTCAGTCACTCCATTGCCAGCTGTCTGCATCATACTCTGGTAAAGCTACAACTTTGATTAAATGTGAATCTGCAGCTGAACAGCTGGATAAAAATGCACAACCACACTGACAATGTTGTTGTTAAGTGCCATTGAATTGGTTCTGACCCATAACGGCCCTGTGTGAGGGTTTCAAAGGAGCGACTGGTAAGCTTGAACCTCCGACCTTGTGATTAAAACAGACTTTATAGTTCAGCACATTAACCCACAGTGCCACACCAGAACTCCATGCCTCCTTCCAATTCCTTCATGATAGGACCTAGAATGGGCCCATAATGCTGCCCAGCAACCGTATTTCCCTTGTCCATTTGCTTTCCCAGTGCTAGATGAATATTTAACAACTCTAATCTCAAAGCTGTCTTTTCACTCTGTTTTGAAGCAATAAAAGAGACCTTCCAAAGACAATATATCACAACTCCCCACCTATCAGCATGTGTACCTATGTGCGCTGCCTTCCCTTCTTGAACTGCCTCTGAGCTTACTGAAGGACAACCTTTATTTCTTCATTAGAACACTCCCTCAAGGGCATCATTTCAACAACTCTCTTCTCCCTCCTATGTATTTGATTTTCACTTTTGATTGGATTGTTCATCTAAGCAGACAAACATACTGTTGTAATTCCCCAGGACCCCCGCAAAAGCCCTTATTTGATCTTCACGCTCTTCAGTTACTACCCTATGTGAATACTTCTGCTCTTCCTGCCTTCACAGCAGAATGCAAGTGTTCTGTCAAATTCCTTTCATTCCGCTTTCTGTGAACCCTGCTTTTATTCTTACTGCTCTACTGAAACAGTTTTTTTCAAGGTTACCAATGGCATTCACAATATACATCTATCATAGAATGCTCATTTCTCAACTTGATCCATCAAAAACCAATCTCAGCTGCCATCGAGTCATTTCTGACTCATAGGGTGTGTTGCTGTAGGATCAGCACTGGACTGCGAACCACAAGGTTGGCAGTTCAAACCTACCAGCTGCTTCTCAGAATCCCTATACAGAACTGACTCAACAGCACTTAACAACAATAACAAATAGGGTTTCTAAGGTTGGAATTCTTTATAGGAGCACAAGGCCTTATCTTTCTCCTGCAGAGCAGCTGGTGGTTTGAACTGTGGACTTTGTGATTAGAAGTCCAGTGCTTATCCTACAGCACCATCAGGGCTTTTCAAGTTGACCACCTGCAGCATATGACCAGTTGGTTGCTCCTCCCTTTTGGAAGCACTTCCTTTACAGGGCCTCCAGGATGCTTCGTGATTTCTCTTCTTCCTGACTTCTTGACGAGCTGCTCTTCTTTTCCCCAACCTTTTAATGCTGAAGTGGCCCAGAGCTCACTTCTTGTTTCTCTTACCTGTCAACACACACCTCCCTGAAGGTTTCAACCAGTCTTGGGCTTTAAATACTGAATTGCTAGATGCTGATGATTCTCAAATGTCTATTTCCAGGCCACACATCTCCCCCGAACTCCAGACTAGGTCTTAGACTTAATCTATCCGACAATAAAAAGAACTCCTGAGATGGCCAAAGTTGAAGCTCTGCCCTCTCCCCTAACACTTGCTCCCCCCAGTGTTTACCATCTCAGCGGCTGCAGTTAGTGGCATCCTTCCCATTGCTCAAGCCCAAAACCTTGGCAGCATCTTTGAGTCCTTAATCTCTCTCACCTTCCATCCAATCAGGGAATCCTATGGACTCAGCCTTTAAGATGTTGTTAGGTGCCGTCGAGTCAGTTCCGACTCAAAGTGATTGTAGGCACAACAGAACAAAACACTGCCCGGTCCTGCTTCATCCTCATGATCTTGCTACACTTGAGTCCATTGCTGCTACCACTGTGCCGATCCATCTCGTTGGAGGTCTTCCTCTTTTTCACTGACCCTCAACGTCATCAAGCATAATGTCATCCTCCAGGGCCTGGTCCCTCCTGATCACATGTCCAAAGTGTGAGAAACAAAGTCTTGCCATCCTTGCTTCTAAGGAACATTCTGGCTGTACTTCTTCCAACACTGATTGGTTTGTTCTTCTGGCAGTCTGTGATACTTTCAACATTCGCCAACACCATAACGCAAATGTGTCAATTCTATGGTCGTCCTTTTTCATTGTCTACCTTTCACATGCATATGAGATTATTGAAAACATCATGGCTTGGTTCCGTTGCACCTTAATCCTCAAACTGATGTCTTTGCTCCTGAACACTTTGAAGAGGTCTTGTGCAGCAGATTTGCCTAATGCAATATGTCATTTGATTTCTACACTGCGGCTTCCTTGAGTGTTGTTTGTTGATCCGAGCAACATGAAGTCTTTGACAACTTTAATTTTGTCTCCATTTATACGGATATTGTGTATTGGTCCAGTGGTGAGGATTTTTGTTTTCTTTACATTGAGGTGCAACCCATACTGAAGGCTGTACTCTTTGCTTTTCATCAGCAAGTATTTTAAGCCCTCTTTGCTTTCAGCAAGCAAGGTTGCATATTGCAGGTTGTTAATGAGTCTTCCTCCAATCCTGCTATTTTTCATATAATCCAGCTTCTTGAACCATTTGCTAAGCATACAGATCGAATAAACATGGTGAACTACTATAGCTCTGGTGTACACCTTTTCCTGGTTTTAAACCATTCAGTATCCGCTTGCTCTGTTCAAACAACTGTCTCTTGATCTGTGTACAGGTTCCTCATGAACACAATCAAGTGTTCTGGAATACCCATTATTCACAATGTTATCCATAGCTTGTCATGATTCACATAGTTGAAAGCCTTTGCATAGTCAATAAAGCACAAACAAACATTTTTCTGGTCATCTCTGCTTTCATCCAAGATCCATCTGACATCAGCAATGATATGTCTAGTTCCATGTCCTCTACTGAATCCAGCTTAAGTTTCTGGCAGTTCCCTGTCGATGTACATTTGCAGCTGTTTTTGCATTGTCTTCAGCAAAATTTTACTTGCATGTCATATTAATGATATTGTTTGGTGATTTCTGCATTCTGTTGGTCATCTCTCTTAGGAATGGGCACAAATATGGATCTATTCCAATTAGTTGGCCAGGTAGCTACCTTCCAAATTTCTTGGCATAGATGTGTGAGCACCTCCAGTGCTGCATCAGTTTGTTGAAAAATTTCAATTTGTAATTCATCAATTCTTGGAGCCTTGTTTTGTGCCAATACCTTCACTGTAGCTTGGACTTACTTCTTCAGTTCTGTTCTTGATGATATGTTACCTCTTGAAAACCATTTCATAAACTTTTTTTTGCCCACTGACTGTATTTTTTCCACATTTTAATGCTTTCTGTATCACTTAATATTTTGCCCATGGAATTCTTCAATATTGCAAGTTGAGGCTTGAATTTTTCCTCAAGGTCTTTCAGCTTGAAAATGCTGAGCGTGTTCTTCCCTGTTGGTTTTCAAACTCCAGGTCTTTGCACATTTCATTATAAGGCTTGACTTTGTCTTCTCGAAGTGCCCTTTGAAATGTTCTCATCAGCTTTTTTACCTCCTCATTTCTTTGATTCACTTTAGCATCTCTGCACTGGAGAACAAATTTCAGAGTCTCTTCTAACATCCATTTTGGACTTTTCTTTATTTCCTGTCCTTTTAATGACCTTCTGCTTTCTTCCCATATGATGTTCTTGATGTCATCCCACAGATCTTCTGGTCTTTGGTCTTTACTGTGTAATGCATCAAATCTGTTCTTTTAAAAGAATTTAGAGATGGTCTCTAAATTCAGATGTGATATGTTCTAGGTTATATTTTGGCTCTTACGAACTTGTCTTTATTTTCTTCAACTTTAGTCTGAACTTGCATATGAGCAATTGATGGTCTATTCCACAGTCTG